TTTGGTTAAAATATATGTTGTCTTTAATATTGGTGCTGGTGGCATCTTATGGCATTTAGCTTTGCAAATTAAAAGAATTTAGCTGTTTCATGTTTTGTTGATGTAATTTTTTCACCGTTTTAAAAAAATTTTTGGGGGGGGGGCTGCACAAGTAGCCGGTCTTGCCTAGGGCACAATATAGTCTAGCACTGGCCCTCCTCCCACCCTCCATTCAGTACTGTGCTGCCTCCCGCTCTCCACTCTGCTGTACACCTTACAATAGGTAGGAGAATGCTACCTGTACACTCCTGTTTGTGTCCAGAGGATGATGTGAAAGGGAAAAGGACACTAGGGGGGAAACAGAGGACACTGCTTTGGGGGGGGGCATGGGGCACTACAGTAAGGGGGGCGTGATCTGAAGGGGCAAAGGACACTGCTATGGGGAAAGGCAGAAAATACTACAGAGTGGGGGGGGGGGGGGCAGATGGACACTACAGTGGGGCAGTGGGGGGAGGGTGATCTGAAGGGGCAGTGGACATTACAATGGGGCAAGGCAGAAAACACTACATAATGGGGTGAGGGGCAGTAGACACTACAGTGGGGCAGTGGGGGGAGGGTGATCTGAAGGGGCAGTGGACATTACAATGGGGCAAGGCAGAAAACACTACATAATGGGGTGAGGGGCAGTAGACACTACAGTGGGGCAGTGGGGGGAGGGTGATCTGAAGGGGCAGTGGACATTGCTATGGGGCAAGGCAGAAAACACTACATAATGGGGTGAGGGGCAGAGGGGCAGTAGACACTACAGTGGGTCAGTGGGGGGAGGGTGATCTGAAGGGACAGAGGACATTGCTATGGGGCAAGGCAGAAAACACTACATAATGGGGTGAGGGGCAGTAGACACTACAGTGGGGCAGTGGGGGGAGGGTGATCTGAAGAGGCAGAGGATACTGCTATGGGAGAAGGCAGAAAACACTACATAATGGGGGGGGGGGGCAGAGGGGCAGTGGACACTACAGTGGGGCAGTGGGGGGGAGTGATGTGAAGGGGGCAGAGGATACTGCTTTGGGGGGGGGGGGGGACAGGGCAATTCTATGGAGGAAAGGGGAGGCAGAGGAGCAGGGGACACTGCAACACTGCACACAAATGAAATGTATGTCCTTTTTTCCCACAAATAGACTTTCTTTCGGTGGTATTTGATTGCCTGTGCGTTTTTTATTTTTTGTGCTATAAACGAAAAAAGACCAACAATTTTGAAAAAAAACAACAATATTTTTGAGTTTTTGCTATTAAACATATTCAGTAAAGAAATTAAAAAATCTAATTTCGTCATAAATTTAGCCAAAATGTATTCTGCAACATGTCTTTGCTAAAAAAAAAAAAAAAAAAACAATACATGTAAATTAATTGGTTTACTTGAAAGTTATAGCGTCTACAAATGGCGGTATATATACTGGAATTTTTTTTTTCTTTTATACTAGTAATGGCGGCAATCAGCGAATTATAGTGGGACTTCAGGACTGTGGTGGGCATTCTGACACTGGGGGGGAACTGACTAACTGCCACTGACATCCCAATGACACTAATACAGTGATCGGTGCTAATAAAAAGCACTGATACTGTACTAATGGCACTGGGCATGAAGGGGTTACAATCTGGGCAATCAAACGGTTAAACTGTGTGTTGTTTTTACTTGATGTGCTGTGTGTGGCTGTGTGTGAGCTTTACTAGGGAGACATGCTGCTGTTTATTTCTCTGCTGTGCAAAGAAATACAAAGCAGCATGTCCTGCCTGGCAGGAGAGACCTGTGTTGCTTACGCACAGGTCTCTCTCCTCTCAGCTTTCCCCGATGATCACGGGTGCCTGTAGGACCCGGTGATTGACATCCCTAGCTGTCAATGTTGGCGCTGGTAGGGCGTGTACATATACATGGCATGTACAGGGGGGATCGAAAGTTTGGGCACCCCAGCTAAAAATTTGTATTAATGTGCATAAAGAAACCAAGGAAAGATGGAAAAATCTCCAAAAGGCATCAAATTACAGATTAGACATTCTTATAATATGTCAACAAAAGTTAGATTTTATTTCCATCATTTACACTTTCAAAATAACAGAAAACAAAAAAAATGGCGTCTGCAAAAGTTTGGGCACCCTGCAGAGTTAATATCTTGTACTGCCCCCTTTGGCAAATATCACAGCTTGTAAACGCTTTTTGTAGCCAGCCAAGAGTCTTTCAATTCTTGTTTGAGGTATCTTTGCCCATTCTTCCTTACAAAAGTCTTCCAGTTCTTTGAGATTTCTGGGCTGTCTGTCACGCACTGCTCTCTTTTAAGGTCTATCCATAGATTTTCAATTATGTTGAGGTCAGGAGATTGTGAAGGCCATGGCAAAACCTTCAGTTTACGCCTCTTGATGTAATCCCCCGTGGATTTCGAGGTGTGTTTAGGATCATTATCCATTTGTAGAAGCCATCCTCTCTTTAACTTCAGCTTTTTCACAGATGGCATCAAGTACCAACCAAAATTTGCTGAAATTTTATTGAATCCATTTTTCCTTCTACTCGTGAGATGTTCCCTGTGCCACTGGCTGCAATACAACCCCAAAGCATGATTGATCCAACCCCATGCTTAACAGTTGGACAGAGGTTCTTTTCATTAAATTCTGTGCCCCTTCTTCTCCAAACGTACCTTTGCTCATTCCGGCCAAAAAGTTCAATTTTAACCTATTCAGTCCACAGAACTTGTTTCCAAAATGCATCAGGCTTGTCTATATGTTAATTTGCAAAGTTCAAACGATGATTTTTTTGTGGTGAGGACGTAGAAGAGATTTTCTTCTGATGACTCTTCCATGAAGACCATATTTGTACAAGTATCTCTTTATAGTGGAATAGTGTACCACAACTCCAGTGTCTGCCAGATCTTTCTGGAGGGATCGTGCAGTCAAACGTGGGTTTTTAATTGTTTTTCTCACAATCCTGCGAGCTGTTCTGTCTGATATTTTTCTTGGTCTTCCAGATCTTGCTTTAACTTCCACTGTTCCTGATGACTGCCATTTCTTAATTACATTCCGAACAGAGGATATTGACATCTGAAAACGCTTTTGCTATCTTCTTATAGCCTTCCCAGCTTTGTGAGCGTCAACTATTTTCAGTTTCAGTTTTCTAGACAACTGCTTAGAAGAACCCATGGTGCTGATTGTTGGGGCAAGGTCAGATGAGTCCGGGCATTTAAAACCTTTGAGATTGACATAACCTGGTCTTCCCAGACGATGATTGAGAACAATCCATGACACTGGCAGGTCTCAGCTTTGCAAAGGGGGCAGTGCATGCTATAAATTCTGCAGGGTGCCCAAACTTTTGCAGACGCCATTTGTTTGTTTTCTGTTATTTTGAAAGTGTAAATGATAGAAATAAAATCTAACTTTTGTGGACATATTATAAGAATGTCTAATCTGTAATTTGATGCCTTTTGGAGATTTTTCCATCTTTCCTTGGCTTCTTTATGCACATTAATACAAATTTTTAGCTGGGGTGCCCAAACTTTCAATCCACACTGTATATATACTGATTTTGCACAGCCCTGCCACCCTGCAGCTGTAGTTCTACTAAAGGGTGGCAGGAAAGCAGGTTAAAAAGGGGCACCGCCCCCCGCCTCCATATGGTTCAGGTAGATCTCAACCTCTGAAAGGTTGCCTACCCCTGGGCTAGATGATGCTGGATGTCCTCCAACCAGGAAATAAAGCAGGCTCTAGCTGACTTACTTCAGCCACGAATGCACATTATGGAAAGCCCAGAATGTGCAGTGAAATCAGAGTAAGCCATTTCAGTCCAAGAAACGAGCTGTGCAAGTCTCAACGTGAGGCTGAAGATCAGATTTAAACCCCGGTTCACATCATTGTCATGCGGCTTTGAGGTCCAACTATGCTTTGCGACTTCATTCTGAGTTGCTGCCATTCAGTGCGACTTCAATAGTAGATGTCAATGCAAGTCATGATGACGTAGCACAAAAATAGTGCAGGAACCTTTCTTGGAGTCTTTGCGATTTTGAGTTGCAGTGATTAGAATGGGGCCATTGAAAGATATGGGATGCGACCTGTCGTGCAACTTCAAACTCCCAAGACGCATGACAAGTCTCATTTGTGTGAACAGGGACTAAGCTGGCTGACTCAATTACAACAATGCACTACATTCGTGGCTTCCTGTGAACCACTCTGTACATTGCACAATCTAACCCCTGTACATAATATACTTCTGATTCCTGGACTGTGTTCTTACCATACTCCCCTGACCCCTGCACTCCTTCATGTTGTGCATTACATACTTTTGATCCTGCACTTTACATGTTGCAGACTCCTGACCCCTGTATCTATACAGTACATTCCTGATCCTAACCCTTGTACTCTGTACATAACATAGGTCTGATCCCTGGACTGTGTTCTCACCATACTCCCCTGACCCCTACACTCATGCATATTGTACGTGACTTACTTTTGATCCTGCACTTTACATACACACACCTGACCCCTGCATCTGTACATTACATTCCTAATGCCTGAACTCTGTTTATTGGGTCATACATTACTTTTACTCCTGATCTTTGCACGTTACATACTCCTGACCCCTGCACTCTGAATGTTACATACTTCTGACTCTTGCCTTCAATGATTATTGTACTCTGTTTGTTGAGCTGTATGTTATTGTACTCCTGACCCCCGCATTCTGTATGTGACAAACTTCTGACCCCTGCAGTTTGTACATTACATACTATAGACCATGCACTCTGTATGTTGCATATTCCTGCCCCCTCCACACTGTACGTTACATGCACCTGGCCACTGAAGTATGTAAATTACATACTGCTGAGTCCTGAAGTCTATATGCTGGACTGTACATTCATTTTTACAACCATCCACTGCACTTACTGTGGCATGTGTGTGCAGTATACAGTATACATCAAGTAGGCCCAGTTTAGCTACTCCTGTTTAAGCCACTCCAGGGGTGGACTGACCATTTGGAAACTCGGGCACTGCCCAAGGGCCCGGGGTCAGTAGGGGGCCCCAGGAGATGCCCCTGGTACCTTTTTCATAGGTTTTTTTTAGTTTGGGCAAGGACACAGGGGCCCCATGATCCTCTATTGCCCAGGGGCCCCATGAGTTGTCAGTCCACCCCTGGCGGTAACCCAGACTGGTCAAACACATTTCCAGTCTGCTGATTGGACCATGAAGAAGCAGCAGAAGATTGAAGAGTTATCCCTCTGTTCACTCTGATTTCTGAGCCACTCCCAATGTAATGTGCAACTTTGCCACATCCACTGGTTGCTGTGGTGTTCTGTCTGCCACAAACCTCACCTCCTTTATATGCTCCAGGACACTCCAGATTTTCCACAATGCTATTAATGACTGGAATGTAGGCACACCCCCAGGACTCCCAAGAGTCCTTTCCCTACAGACAGTGTGTGAGCAGACTGGGAAATAAATCAATATACAGTATGCATATTGGGTATTGGAAGTGAACAAGAATTTGCTTTTCATTTGATTGAATAACGAAGTGAATATTAATATTTTTTTCAGCGAAGTCTTTCAAAACCTTCAACTTTTAAAAAGTTGGCCAAAACTAGAAAATAGGCACACACAGGCTTTCTGGCAGGATTAATGGACATTTTTTTGGTTTCTGCAGGATTTTAAAGGGATAAAACATAAGAAAAGGTACTGTTTGTGTTTTTTTTTTAATAACAAATGAACTTATGCTTTGATATCTATGAAAACTTTGATATGTTGTTTATGCTGCAAGTAGAGTTAAATTGTGAGCACATGTATGTTATAAGACAAGTGAAGTAATATACACCTACAGAAATATTGTCAAAGGTTCATTTGCTTCTTTCAACTCAAGAAAGTTAATCCCAGATCATTGCCATCTAAAATATTAGTTACTAATAACTAATATTTAAAATGACAAAGGATCCCCAGAGAAAACCAATTAATCCGTTCATATTGCGAAAAAAAATTGTAAACCGAGGCATTTTCAACGGATTTTCATTCGTAAACCAAAAATTAAGTTAACTGAGGCATTCATAAACCAAGGTACGCCTCTATATATATACACAGTATATATATACACAGTGTTTGTTTTACAAATAAATAATACATACCAAAGGATCCCTAGAGGGGTATGGGTTAGCTAAACAGACAGCAATCCAGTAACCTAACAAAAAGCGAATCCTAGATTATTTTCATCCAATATTATTTTTTATTGTGTTATACAGGGAAACTAGAAGGCTTAACATCAATTTCATTTTCTGTATTTATTTATTTAAGGAAGTTTAAGATTTTTTGTTATATTATTTTTTTACTATATAAAAACAATGTTTGCATTACAAATACATAATAAATGACAAAGGATCCCTAGAGTTAGCTAAAGAGACAACAATGCAGTAAACGAAAATTGACATCTATTATTTATTTCAAAGTATTTTTGGTACAGGAAAACTAAAAGTCTTTGACATTATTTTCATTCCATTTATTGGTTTATTGAAGTTTAAAATTGTTCTTTTCTTTCTTTATTTTTTATTTTATGCATACAAAGTTTATTTTATAAATAAATAATGCATGACAAAGGATCCCCAGAGGGGTATGGGTCAGCTAAAGAGATAGCAAGAGAGAAAAGGGGATAGAAAGTAGTAATGTAAGCAATGTAGTCAGCCCTACCTGAGTCCTCCCCTCCTGAACTACAGAACACCCTCTCTGCATCCCATCTCCATAATATAAAGGGAGGTATTCTGTTGTTTAGATGGAGAGAAGTGGACAGGACTGATAACATTATTTTGGATTGTATCATTACTGGACATGTAGGGGTTGCTGGAAGAAACTACAATGAAGAGGAGGATCAGACAATCACCACAAATGCAGAATGGTCTCTAGGCAGGAATAGCTTTAGAATACAGCAGAGATCAAAAGTATGGCCAGCCCAAGAGGTGAGAACTAAAGCTTAACTCAGCTTTAAATCTATCAGAAGGGAAGGTATGGCTAATTGCCAATTGGATCATTTTGATTGAATCACATATTGATCAGATTTGTTGCCACCAAAAGGGTTTATCCTAAAAGGGTTTTTAATGGACTCTTCAGTTTGTTCCCTCTATTTTGGACAGTGTCATTACACTAGAAATCTTAGACGAAATTTCATTTTTTATTGATAAGTCGACCTCTCTAGAGCAGCTTTTTGCAATCTTTTTTTTACCATGGAGGAACCCTTCAAATAATTTTCAGGTCTCAGGGACTCCCAGCTAAAGTATTCCATACATCCAGCACAATATACACTAGTGCAGTGGTCGGCAAGCCGTGGCTCGCGAGCCACATGCGGCTCTTTAAGTTTTAAATGCGGCTCTTCTGTGTGCCGGGCGCCCGCTCCCCTCCCCTCCCTCCCCTCCCACGGGCGTGTGCCGGGCGGCCGCCCCCCTCACCTCCCCCTCCCCCCTCCCTCCTCTCGGGACGGCCGCCCGCTCCCCTCCCTCCTCTCCGGCAGCTGCCCCAAAAGTCAGGACTCTGCAGCTGTCAGGATGTAGGCGGGGCAGCCAGGATGTAGGCGATGGCAGCGTGACAAACTCCTCTCCTCTCACAGTCCGCCCTGAAGACAGAACGGCGCGGGAAGCACGGCGAGAGGAACGCGCGGAGCAAAGGTAAGTGAATTGACACAGGGGGGACTTACTATATGGGGGATGAATTACTACTATATGGGGGACTTACTATATGGGGGGGACTTACTATATATGGGGGGGACTTACTATATGGGGGGGACTTACTATATGGGGGGACTTTTACTATATGGGGGGGACTTGCTATATGGGGGGGACCTTACTATATGGGGGGGACTTTGCTATATGGGGGGGACTTACTATATGGGGGGGACTACTATATGGGGGGACTTACTATATGGGGGATGAATTACTATATGGGGGACTTACTATATGGGGGGGGACTTACTATATGGGGGATGAATTACTATAATGGGGATGAAATTACTCTATGGGGGATGAATGAATTACTCTCTTGGGGGGATGAATTACTATTGGGGGATGAATTACTATATGGGGGATGAATTACCTACTATGGGGGATGAATTACCTATGGGGGGATGAATTACTCTATGGGGGGATGAATTACTCTATGGGGGATGAATTACTCTATCGGGGATGAATTACTATATGGGAGATGTATTTTCAGTTTTAAAAATGTGGCTCTCAAAATAAATTTCAATCTTGGTTTTGGCGAGATTTGGCTCAGTTGAAAAAAAAGGTTGCCCACCACTGCACTAGTGTGATCGGTAAGTTGTTGTGCTCTCTTTGATTGGTGGTCAGGGGGAGCAGCACCTTACACCCTTACAGGGGTGGTCAGTGATAGAATTACCTCCCCTACAGTGGTGGTCAGTGGTAGAAGGAACCCCTTACAGTGGTGGTCAGTGGTAGAATGACCCCCTTATAGTGGTGGTCAGTGGTAGAAAGAACCAGCCTTACAATGGTGGTCAGTGGTAGAAGGACCCCCTTACATTAGTGGTCAGTGGTAGAAGGAACCCACCTTACAGTGGTGGTCAGTGGTAGAAGGACCCCCTTACATTGGTGATAAGTGGTAGAAGGACCCCTTTACAGTTTTGGTCAGTGGTAGAAAGACTCCCGTACATTGGTGCTCAGTGAAAGAAGGACCACCTTACATTAGTGGTCAGTGGTAGACAGACTCCATTACAGAGGTGGTGAGTGGTAGAAGGAACCCCCTTACAGTGGTGGTTAGTGTGGTAGAATGGCTTACTGACTCCTTACATTGGTGCTCAGTGAAGAAGGACAACCTTACATTAGTCGTCAGAGGTAGACGGACCCCGTACAGAGGTGGTCAGTGGTAGAAGGACCCCATACTGTGGTGGTCAGTGGCAGAAAGACTTTCTTACATTGGTGATCAGTGGTAGAAGGACCCCCATACAGTGGTGGTCAGTGGCAGAAAGACTCTCTTACATTGGTGATCAGTGGTAGAAGGACCCCCATACAGTGGTGGTCAGTGGCAGAAAGACTCTTACATTGGTGATCAGTGGTAGAAGGACCACCTTACTTTTGGGGGTCAGGGGGAGCAGGACCCCCCTTACAGAGGCACTCAGTGTTAGAAGGACCCCCCCTTACAGTGATACTTAGTGGTATAAGGTGTCCCTTTTTTGGGTAGCCAGATGAAAGAATTAGTTTCTTACAGGCCACTAAAAAAGGTGACATTGGTTACTTACCTGAGAGATAAGAGGACAGACTATGCTTGTCCTACATGCTGGCTCTGCTGAATGATTTTGGTGCAGGGGCATTGCCCGAGGGCCCGGGGTCCGTAGGGGGCCATGAGAGGATCACTGTCCAGTGACAGTGTGGGGAGCAGAGGAGGAGGCAGTCTCAGATCCCGACCCAGACGCAGCTCACCTGTCACTTCACGTGGGGGCAGAGTGAGTCGGGTGACAGGGTCTGGACACTGCTGGTGATGGAGCCGGTGGGAAGGTGAGAGGCATGGGTGCGGTGCGGGGTGTTCACCACAACACACCCTGCACCCCCCCCCCCATGGATGATCTGTATCAGGAACAAAGTCGGAGGTGATCGGTGCAGGGGAGGGACAGTGACAGAACCGATCTCCCTGCATGGATTTCAAGGAAGCAGCTGAAAGCCATGGGACGGAGAGGCTTCCAGCTGCCTCATTGAAATCCATGCATGGAGATTGGTGCTGTCACTGTCCCTCCACTGCACCCATCATCCCTGACTGTGCATCGGATTTCACTCTTGCCCCCCCCCCCCTGTGCTCCTCAGACCCCCCCCCCCCCCCCCCCCTTGCAGGTCTCTGATGCCTCCTCTTCTCTGACAGTGTCAGAGGAGAGAGGATCTGCTCTGCCTCCCCTGTCCAGATCAGCCGACAGCTCTGTGATGCTTCTGAATGTACTAGGACCGTCTCTCTCTCTCTCTCTCCCCCTCCTCTCTCTATTCTCTCTCTCCCTCCTCTCTCTCTCTCTCCCTCTCTCTCTCTCTCCCCCTTCTCCCCCCCCCCCCCCCCCCTCTCTCTCCCCCCCTCTCTCTCTCTCTCTTCCCCTCTCTCCCCCCTCTTTCCCTCCCTCTCCCCCCCCCCTCTCTCTCTCTCCCTCTCTCCCTCACCTCTCTCCCCCTCTCTCTCCCTTGCTCCCTCTCCCCCCCTCCCTCTCTCTTCCATCTCTCCCTCTCTCACCCTCCCTCCCCCCCTCCCTCTCTCCCCTCTCTCCCCTCTCTCCCTCCTCTCTCTCTCTCTCTCTCTCTCTCTCCTTCCTCCATCCATTTCCTTCCTTCCTCCATCCATTCCCTCCATTTCCTTCCTTCCTCCATCCATTCCTTCCCTCCCTTTTCTTCCTTCCTCCATCCCCTCCCTTCCTTCCTTTCGCTCTCCTTCCCTCCCCTTCTTTCCTTCCTTCCTTCCCCTTCTTTCCTTCCTTACTTCCCCTTCTTTCCTTCCTCCCTTCCTTCATCCATTTCCTCCTCCTTTTTCTTCTTCCTTCTTTCTTCCCTCCCCCCCGATCCTTCCTTCCTTCCTCCATTCCCCCCCTCCCTTTTCTTCTTCCTTACCTTCATCCTTCCTCCATCTCGTCCCTTAATTCTTTCATTTCCTCCCTCCTTGTCCTTCAATCATTCCTTCCTTCCTTCCCCCCTCCCTCCCCTTCCTTCAATTCCTTCCCTTTTCCTCCCTTCCTCCTCCCTTACTTCATTCCTCCTTCCTTCCTTCCTTCTTCCATCCCCTCTCTTCATTCTTTCCTCCCTCCCCTCCTTTCATTTCCTTCCTTCCTCCTCCTCCCTTCCTTCCCTCCCCTTTCTTCCTCTCCATCTATTCCCTGCCTTTTCTTCTTTCCTTCCTTTCCTTTCCCCTCCCTCCTCTTTTCCTTCCTTCTTTTCTCCCTTTACTTCCTTCCCCTTTCTTCTTCCTCCATCCATCCCTCCCCAACTTCCCTCCCTTCCCCTCCTTTTCCTTCATTCCTTCCTCCATCCATTTTCTTTCCTTCTTTCCTCCATCCATCCATCCCTCCCTCCCTTTTCTTCTTCCCCCCTTCCTTCCTCCATCCCCTTCTTCTTTTCCTCCCACCCCCTTTTCCTTCCCTCCTCTTTCTTCATCCATTCCCTCTCTCCCTTTTTATTCCTTCCTTCCTCCTCCCCCTCCCTTTCCTTCCTTCCTTTTCCTTCATTTCTTTCCTTCCTCCATCCATTTTCTTCTTACCTTCATTCCTTCCTTACTCCATCCATTCCCTCCCTCCCTCCCTTTTTTTCTTTCCCTTCCTTTCTCCATCCATTCCCTCCCTCCCTCCCTTATCTTCCGTCCCTTCCTTCTTCCATCCCCTCCCTTCATTCATAATGACAGCCCAACATATACTAGTGCTCCCTGTTCACTCCCTACTGACACTGTCCACTGCCCCCACAAAATCATTGTGAAAAAAATAATACATAAATTGTAATTTAGAAATTAGATAATAAAAATTAAAAAATTCTGACACCCTCACCATTGCTCTATTGACACCATCCACTGGCCACCCCCAAAAGCATTTTGAAACAAAAATGATAAAAATAATAAAACATTAATTTGTAAATAAAATCATAAAATTGCAAAAAAATAAATAATACTAATAAAAATGAAAAACTACTGACACCACCTACTGACATCGCCTTACACATACTAGCCACCGCCATACACTCCGCACTCCTGTCCCTGTACATACTACCCACTGTCATACACTCCACACTCCTATCCCTGTACATACTACCCACCACCATACACTCCACACTCCTGTCCCTGTACATACTACCCACCACCATACACTCCATACTCCTCTCCCTGTACATACTAGCCACCGCCATACACTCCGCACTCCTGTCCCTGTACATACTACCCACTGTCATACACTCCACACTCCTCCCTGTACATACTACCCACCACCATACATTCCCACACACACTCCACACTCCTATACACTCCATACTCCTCTCCCTAACATACCCCCACCACCCATACACTCCACACTCCTATCCCTGTACATACTACCCACCACCATACACTCCGCACTACCCCACCCCTGTACATACTACCCACTGTCATACACCACCCACACTCCTGTCCCTGTACATACTACCACCACCATACACTCCATACTCCTCTCCCTGTACATACTACCCACCACCATACACTCCGCACTCCTGTCCCTGTACATACTACCCACCACCATCCTGTCCCTGTACATACTACACTCCACACACTCCTGTCCCTGTACATACTACCCACCACCATACACTCGGCGCACTCCTCTCCCTGTACATACTACCCACTGTCATACACTCCACACTGTACATTCCCTATTTAACATTACCTCATTCTGCACTATATAAGTCATCTCAGACACTATTTAACTACACCCCTTTTAAGCCATGCGCAATTTTTAGCGCAAATTTAAAACACACCCCTCCTCTCTCATCCCTTCCCCTCTCTCACACCCCTCCTCTTTTTCACCCCCTCACTCACTCCCCTCTCTCTTCACTTCCCCCACATGGCAGCCATCTTTAAACCTGGAAGTGCCCAGTGGCTTCTATGGAAAGAATCCGGGAACATTCATGCAGTCTTTGCTGCAGTAAATATTTAAATGCCCTTTCTATGCAAATGAGCTGCAATATGTAGGTAGGGTGTTGTGTGGGTGTGGCTTGAGTGTAGGTGGGGGCACAGGGGGCCCCATTATCTCTTACTGTCCGGGGGCCCCATGAGTTGTCAGTCCGCCCCTGTGTTGGTGTTAGCACAATGCAGGCACAGCCATGCGGATCATTTATTTGCCACCACTCAAGGAAGCCTTAGCAACCTCTGAGGGAGCTTTAGCTGAGAATGGCTGCTCTAGAGGCTGACACAGTGCGAGGGAAGGGAAGGGAAAGTGGTCATTGTTGCAGGACATACCATCCATACTGTCCCACTGGAAGATGTAAAAACCCCAAAGATACAAAACACTAAAGATAGAGGTTCCAGTCCCCAAGGTTCACAGCTGTAACATTTGGAACTCTGAAGAAGGAGAACCTTCTATACCTGATAGGTGTTGTACAATGGAGCTGACATGAATTGAGTGAGTGTTGCAGGACATCTCATTCATATTGTGGCACTGGAAGCTGTACAGAATTCTAAAGAATCAAACTCTAGCCCCTGGGACTCACAACTATAACATTAAGAGCTCTGAAGGAGGACCTTCTATACCTGTGCCACTGGAAGATGTAACGGACGCTCTAAAAAAGTCCCAAGGCTCACAGATATAACATTAAGAGCCCTGAAGAAGGAGGACCTTCTATACCTGAAACAAGTTGTACAGTGGCACTCATATGAATGAAATGTTGCAGGACATCTTATTCATACTGTGCCACTGGAATATGAAACTGAAACTCCACAAAACCCTAGACATCCAGACCCCAGTCCCCAAGGCCCACCGCTACAATGTTAAGAGCCCGAAAGAAAGATGATCTTCTATCACTGAAATGCGTTGTACAATGGCGCTCACATGAATTAAGGGTTGCAGGGTGATCTCTTTTATACTGTGCCACTAGAAGCTGTAATTGATGGTCTACAGAACCTCCTTAAAGATCCAGACTCCAGTCCCTGTGGCTCACAGCTATTACATTAAAAGCCCTGAAGGAGGACCTTCTATACCTGAAATGCGTTGTATATTATATCTCACATGAATGAAGCGTTGCAGGACACCTCATTCATACTGTGCCACTGGAAGACGTAACTGATGCTCTAAAAAAGTCCCCAAGGCTCACAGATATAACAATAAGAGCCCTGAAGAAGGAGGACCTTCTATACCTGAAATAAGTTGTACAGTGGCACTCATATGAATGATATGTTGCAGGACATCTCATTCATACTGTGCCACTGGAAGCTGTAACTGACACTCTACTGAACCCTAAAGGTCCAAACCCCAGTCCCCAATGTCCACAGCTATAACATTAAGAACCCTGAAGAACAACCTTCTATACCTGAAATGTGTTGTTCAATTGCACATGAAGTGTTGCAGGACATCTCATTTATATTGTGCTATTGGACTCCAGTCCCCATGGCTCACTGCTTTAACATTACCAAGAGAGCCCTGAAAAAGGAGAACCATCTATACCTGAAATGTGTTGGTTATTTTTTTGAATGTTTATCATTCACACATCTCTAACAGCAGCAGGTGGTTGGTTTAGGTTCACATGCATAGTATATGGAGACTGAACTGACCTGGAACAAGTATTCACTTCATTTGTTCCAGATCAGTGCCTCTCTAGAGGAAGAATGGGTGTGACTGACCCAGAGCATGTGCCTTCAAACTCAAGTTGGCTATGGCGGCTCCCATATTTCTTTGCTGACCGATTCCCTTTAATGATAGTTCATTTAATGATTTTCTGTACAAAGTTTAAGCTGGTGGCATAATTACTGGAAACTCTTTTCTTTTCTTTAATGATTTTCACATTCTTGATTGCTGATCCATATTTCAAATATTGAATTTCAAATATTGCATGGTAAATGCTTTTTGTAGTAGATGTTTATAGACAGGGAAACATAATTAGTATTTCCTTAAAGTGTTATCACAAAGAACTAATCTTATTTGGACCCTTTTGGTCTGTTAATGTTCCGCTGAAAGAGTTTTGTTATATCTATTTGATAAGTGCAAAAAATACCTCTCGATCCTGCCAGAAATCCGGTGAGCTTCTAACATCCTGTACTGTCTGCCTATGCTGCACTCTTATTGGTTACATTGTTCACAGCTACCTATATGGACTACAAAACACTTCCCCTATTTTATGGGGAAGAGGAGAGGAGTTCTGTAGCTCTGTCCTAGGGTGACAATGCTTCCCCTCCATAGATATAGTACAGTGAGTGAGCGATGTCACCCAGGGACATGAATGGTCTTACTCAGGGCAGCCATCAGACATTTTGGGGCCCCTTACACAGCTTTAGTTCAGGGTACTACCGGGCCTGACCACCAGCATTCCCCAGGGCCTGTCCACTGCCCATCCCACTGAATCCGCCCACTGGCCATCCCACAAAGGCCCATCCCATGTCCTCCTTCTTCTTCATCCAATGTCCTCCTCATCCAGTCTCACATCGAACCAGGGGCGGACTGACCATTCGAGCACTCAGGCACTGCCCGAGGGCCTGTGGTCAGTAGGGGGCCCCATGAAATGCCCCTGGTACCTTTTATAGGCTTTTTTGGGTGTACTTTGAGTGTGGGCAAGGACACAGGGGCCCCATGATCTCCTATTGCCCAGGGGCCCCATGAGTTATTAGTCCGCAAGACAGGAGGGAAGCAGCATGACAGAAAGGGAGCCACGTGACAGGAGGGGTGCAGCGGGACAGGTGGGGGGTAGCATGACAGGAGGGAGACAGCATGACAGGTGGGGGGAAGTGGAACAGGAGGGGAGCAGCGGGACAGGAGGGAGAGCATGGAGCAAGTGGAGAGCAACGGGACAGGTGGGGGGCAGCGGGAAAGGAGGAGGCAGTGGGAAAGAAGAGGGGCAGCATGACGTGGGGGCAGTGGGACAGGAGGGGGGCAACGGGACAGGAGGGAGGCAGAGTGATAGGAGGGGGGACAGTGGAACAGGGGGCACCAGGATAGGAGTGGGCAGTGTCACTCACTCATACACCTTGGAAAGCACCAGTCCTCCAAGCTCTCACCTGTCCAGCAGCAGCTCCTCCAGATGGTGTCAGGATCTGGTGTCAGGAGCAGTAGAAGGAGTGGGGCAGCTCCTCTACCCTGACCTCATCCTCTTCTTCATCCTCCTCTACAGGCCCTCAGCAGGCAACCCCTGGTCTCACCCACCCTGCACAGCCCGGTGTACACTGCATATCCTGATTGCAGCTTGACTGACAGCGGGCCCCAATTGCTCCCTGCGCACACCAGGGATCCAAACACCACTCTGCCCTCCTCTGCAGCTGGTCCGCTCTGAAAGCAGATGCCCATACTTGTGTATTGGCTGCCCCCCCCCCCGATGGCAGCCCTGGTGTTACTTGGCAGGATGACAAACTGAACATAAAGGAACCAAAGCCTGTAAAAGGAAAACTAGTTCAGCCATCACATCTATGGACTGGTAAGCTGCAATATACTTGCGTTTTGAGATTTAAGCTTTTAATGACTGATAAGATAAGGACATTTAGCCATATAGGGGGAAGTGGAGCAAAGGACCTCAATATACATGGGAGATGTAGAGGGTGGACTTAAAAAAAATTCTATATATTTAAAAAGTTGACTTACTCAAAAATGAGTGGGCTGGCAAATGTTTAATTGACAGATAAATGACTATTGCTCTAGTCATTGACTATGACTATAGTGTTTTACATTGTCAGTGCTGGCTCTTTGACAACTTCTGGGTTCTTCTCTTGCTATGCTGGTTCCTTGATGACTTCTGGGCTGCTCTCTAGCTATGCTGGTTCCTTTACAGTTTCTGGGCTTCTCTATCGCTAGGCTGGTTTCCTGACAACTTCTGGGCCCCTCTCTCAATATGCTGGAATCCTTCACAACTTCTGGGCCCCTTCTCACTATGTTGGCTCCTTGACAACTTCTGGGCTCCTCTATCACTAGGCTGACTTTTTGACAACTACTGGGCTTCTCTATTGCTAGGCTGGCTTCTTGACAACTTCTGGGCATCTCTTTCAATATGCCTAGACTGACATTCTACTGATATCTTAGTCTTGGTATTTAGGCAGTACAGCATGGAAAGTGTTCTCTTTCCACTCACTTGGTCACTCATTATTATTATTATTATTATTATTATACAGTATTTATATACTGCCAATAGTTTGCTCAGCGCTGTACATTATCTCATCTCCTCATCTGTACATCATCTCCTCCATTGTGGTGGACAACTGCAGTTTGCTTTCCCTAAGCCCAAGTAAAACATCCATGACAGCCAGTATTTTCCATGTTCCTCCAGGGAGGGGAAATCCTTGTGACACTCCAGTCCCCAGGCCCAAAGCCCTGGAAAAAATATAGTTTCTACAGTTCCAGCCTCACTAGGCAAAGGTCTAGAAGGGAAGAGCATATGCCAGAAGGTTCCTCAAGCCTGCTGATGGGGCTTGTGCTCTCTCCAAGCCTGCTGATTGAATAGGACGTCAAATATCCATAGTTATAGCACAGTTGGAAAACCTTTAGTTTTTAGCCCTCTAACCCAGTCAGTTATTTTGTGTCTGAGCCCACTGTGTCACCAATTGCTTCATGCTGATTCTCACTTCCAAACAGCTTGGTGACAAAGATGTTGGACTTGGTGGGCCATTGCAGTAATGCTTTTGTTATTTTAACTAGAGATGAGAGAACATCTGTAGTTCAGCTGAACATTGTAAAAATTTGACAATATACAAAAATAGTAATTTCCATATGTTACGTCTCATTGGCGTTGAATCCAAACCAAACTCCATAAAAATTTATATTACAGAGCAGAAAATTACACAATATTGTACAGAATGGTGTGGAATGATGATGAGGCCAAATCTAACAGAGCCACTTCCTTTAAAAATTCAATCAGGGATACTAGGTGGGACTGGCAATCAAGGTGTCAGGCAACAGCAGAAGAAGATGGAGAAAAGAACCAGCCTTTGGAGCATCTTTTGGTGCCATTCTCCCAGAAGTCTTTTTGGGATTTACCAAAGTCACCAAAAATAACACTTAAATTTGAATTGGATTATCCAAATCAGTAAAATTCATTGTAAATTTAGGATCATCTGAAATACAGGATAATTTCCACTTTTAATATTCTTTCTGCTGTTGCTGAGTAATCATAAACTGGATTTTGACAGGTTGCCATCTACTGTTAAAGGGTCCATCTACCCAGATACTTAATCACCCCTAGGTTTCATATTGCACTGTAATAGTAAGATCTTTCCACATGACCATCAAAAATCCCCACCTACCAAAGCCTTTGTGATGGTTTAAACTTTTCCTATTAGCTATTCTTTTGATTTTGCAAAAGAATGCAGTGGTAGGAATGGGATTGCGGGGGGGAGGGGAAGTGTTGAATATGCTTGTGGGTATTCTCACAGGCAGCCATGTCAGAGGAGTATCCAAGATATACAAGAAGCTAGCGTGTGATTCATCTTGCCAGCTGGCCACCTATAATTGAGATAAGTGCACTATCCCTTTAAATAGCTTTGTGTCTTGAGACTGGTAAATAATCTTATCAGTGCTTGTTAAAGTGTATCTGAATCTGATTCTTGTTTCAGTGTTAGATAAAGGAAGTGTTAATATTTTTGATCCAGATTTAATTTTATCCAGATTGTTATATCATAAAGGGCCAATATATTTAAAATAATGTAGCCTTTCACAACCAGGATTCCTCCAGAGATTGCTAGGGGGGTCCTTGAACAATTAACAATTCATAACAGACATGTAACCACTGACACTATTGATCTTTTGGGCTATCTGTAAGGGAAGCATTTTACATACTGATCACCAATGTAAGGAGCATTCTTCCCATCGACTACCAATGTAAGGAATATTCTTCCCACCAATCACCAATGTAAGGAACATTCTTCCCACTGATCACCAATGTAAGGAAAATTCTTCCCACTGATCACCAATGTAAGGGGCATTTCCCACTGATCACCAATGTAAGGAGCATTCTTCCCACTGATCACCAATGTAAGGAGCATTCTTCCCACTGATCACCAATGTAAGGAGCATTCTTCCCACTGATCACCAATGTAAGGGACATTCTTCCCACTGATCACCAATGTAAGGGACATTCTTCCCACTGATCACCAATGTAAGGAACATTCTTCCCACTGATCACCAATGTAAGGGACATTCTTCCCACTGATCACCAATGTAAGGGACATTCTTTCCATTGACCACCAATGTAAGGAGCATTCTGCTCACTCACCACCAAATGGAGGGAGCATTCTTCTCACTGACCACCAATATAAGGACCATTCTTTCCACTGATCACCAATATAAGGGACATTCTTCCTACAGATCCCCAATGTAAGGAGCTTTCTTCTCACGGACCACCAATGTAAGCAGCATTCTTCTTACTGAATATTAATAAAAGAGACATTCTTCTTACTGACCACCAATGTACGGTATAGTCAATTAACATAAAATCATATACAGAATATACAAAAATAAATAATTATATACATATTTACACAAAAACGAAAATAAATATAGCAAAATCTTCTGTCAGACAAAACCAAAACTCTCATAAATGAACATGTCATTACTGGGGGAAATATATCTTACTAAGACTCACATCACTACACCAGACATCAAACCTGAGAGGTCAAGAAACAACCCCACAGCCATTATGCATGCAGCCCTTCTTCAAAGAGAAGATCTTCACCAACAAAAACTAAGGGAGTGAAAAAAACAGCATAAAAAAAGAGCCCCTCACCCAGAGATGGACAGTTTCCCAAAGGCAGGTCTGATATTCCTGCACACCCTTATCCAGACTACCCGAGGCTCCCTGCCCTTCTCAAGACCCTGAATCTTCCAAACCTCACCCAAAATATCGTGCACCACTACCTCAATAGGGAGGACTTTCTTCCACAGGGTAATCTGACACCGTGCATTCCATGTGAAGTAATGAACAACTATACTAACTAGAAAGAGTGTGTCCAAATCAAAGTCCCAGTGAGTTGGGAATGCCCCGTACACCCACTCTGCATAACTCATGCAATAGAGAAAGGGGATGCCCAGAACCCTCCACCCTTTTATACACCTCTATGTTAAAGGGACACTGGAGCAGAAAGTGGTCCATAGACTCACTTTACCAATGCACTCCGCTCTAGGACAATCCCAATCATCCACAGGGCGATGCTTCAGGTTCCCTCTCACATAGAAAGTGAGCCAGGCTTGATTCCTAAACTTCAAAGGGATTCTCTCCAAATTAATTAAACGCAACCCCTCCCTCATTATGGAGCCTGGGCAATCCTTTAAGGCCAGTGACACACAGAAAGCAGAAGCCAAAATCTTTTCCTCCAGAAGCTTCCTAGGAAGAGATCTGATATCCTCCACTGTCACCTGCCACTGCCAAAGTATTTGCAGACATGGTACAACATAAGCTGAGAGCTTGCCATGTCGGACTCTCACACTTTTCACTGGCCCGCCATCTTTCCAGAAACACAGAAAAGGCTTAAACCAAGATTGAAAAATACCCACCCATCCTGGCGGGGTCTCTGCTAACATACTAACTTTAAAAAGAGCAAAGAAAAGAAAAGTATTGGATTAATTATTCCTAGTCCACCCTCCCACCTGGACAGGTAAGTTACATTGCGTTTTTTTGGTAGCCAGCTTGTCTATAGCACAAACTACCTGATCCGCTGAAATTGGTTCTGTCAAATTATCAATACAATGTACCATTTCCCAATCCTGGAGTAGAATCCAGAAAGCTTTCCATCTTGTCCCGGCTAAGGTCCTTTCTTCCCAGAAGGTCTGCATAATATGACCTGAAGATCTCCAAGATCCCTGATCTGGACTTCACCAGGGAACCCATACTGTCTTTCAGGCCAGTGACCGTCATTACTGCTATGCCTTGCTTACAGTTCTGGTAAGGATCAGGCGAGTGATATTTCCCATAATCCCTCTCCAGAACCAAGGAGGCATGCCAGTCGTATTGACAGTTCCTAAAAAGAAGCTGCACTTCAGAGATCTCCCCTGGATCTCCTCTACATCTTCAAGGAGAGCCAAATTCAGTTTCCAGACACCCCTTCCACTGGGTGGAGTGTCCGAGGCATTCAGAGTCACAGACCGCATACAGTGGTCAGTCAAGAAAGCAGTGTTCTCCTTTAAAAAAAATCCTGTCTATCCTGCTCTGACTATTCCCTCTCTGAAATGTGAAACCCAAGCTGCCAGAGCAGTGCTTAATGTGCACATCTACCAGGCCTGCCTGTTTAACCATATCTCTGATAAAAACGCTATCATAACCCAGCCTGTCTATGGAGCCTCTCCTGTCTTCAGGCCTAATTATGGTGTTAAAGTCACCTCTAAAGACTACCTACTGGGGCGTAAAAGGAGGGCCTTGATCTTTGTGAGGAGGTATTTCCTGTCCCATTTTGAATGGTCCGTAGATATTGATCAGGTGAATATCCTGCCCCCTAACAGAGACGTCTAAGACCATGCATCTCCCCATTGCTACCTCAATTACCCGTCGGACTGTTACCATATTGGTTTTTTAAAAAGCATTGCAACTCCGCTGCAAGGCTCAGCCAGAAGAGACCAAAAAGAGGGACCACCTCTCCACTCACTTGCTAGATGGACATTGGCCAAAGTAATCTCAGCATCAAACTCACTGAGCAAAAATAAGGCCATATCACGAGCTCTTGCAGATTTAATGCCGGTGACATTAATGGTCGCCACCTTTAACGGAGCAGGAACTGCCATCAGGATGATTGGGGTAGACCTTTCCTAACCTCTACCACACTCTCATCACCCAAAACAGCTCTCTTCAGAGTATGCGACTCCCCCTCATCCATTGATGATAAAGACATTGATAAATCAGACTCCATCTCATCACCTGACAAAACTGAATAAGTGTTGCCAAGATGGACCCTTCCTGGGTCTGATTCTGAGGAAGAGAGGACAGCTCTTCTCATCCTCCTCTTCTTTGTTTTCTTCCCCTTAACTCTCTCCCACCCTTCATCAGCTGAATCCCCATCCGCAGGGGGTGAGATATGGGACATGGACACCCCTCCCTCAGCCCCATCAGCTCCACCCCCATCCAGCACCCTCACTCTCTCCTGATCACGTTTGTGCTGTCGTGGGACAGGTACTGGTGGTGGAGTAGTCCGGAAAGGGAAGATCTGCTAAACCCACCCCCCCAGCAGCTTCCACTAGTCTGGAGGATCTATGTACAGTAGAATTAGGAATAGGAGGGACAGACTCAGGGACCACATCACTAAGGGAAACAGGATCTGACACAACAGACAAAACAGACACAGGAGGGGCAACAACAGTTTCCTCCCTAGCATCAGCTGCCTCATCTTCTTTATCCAGCCTCTGCAGCTCAACCTTCAACCCAGGCAGGTTATGTAGTGCCTCTGGGTACTGACTATATGGATGAACCAGCTGCTGGCACAAATTGTACTGAATCTGGGTGCATTCTTTGGCCAAATGGCCTAAATCCTGGCACAGTGAGCACTTCTTGATGGTGCAGGATGATGCAAAGTGTCCTTTCTCTCCACAGTTATTACAAACCTTAGGTTGACCCTGATAGCAAATGGTCAGCCTATCACTCCCCAGAAAAGCTGTGCAGGGCAGGTGTTGAACCACATTGCGCAGCACCCTCAATTGCAGCAACACTGTCCAGGCCCCTGTCCATATTCCATGCTCATCATGGACCATCATGGGGTGAGGACCTCACCATATCGGCGCAGCTACACTACCAAATCAGCCTCTGGTATGGATTCATTACAGAGCAGCATCATCTCCGATTTTATCAAAGAATGCCTTGAAACTACCTTTGGCACCAAACCACTGCTGAAGGCTCCTGTACCTCCTATATCTCTCCCAACAAAAATCCAGACCTTCAGGTTTCACAAATGACAAATCATATTCATAACTGCAAACTGGGCAGATCAAAGCAAAAATATCACAAGCTTTAAACCCCATCTCTAGAATCAACTCAGCCACCCTTCCCCTTAATGGTGGGGTTCCCTCCCCCCCCCCCACCTCAACTGCACAACATTCCTCCTCCTGAACCCACCAACCATCCCACCACCAAACCTCCTCAAATTGTGACACTTAGGATTTCCAACATTCCCTCCACCCCCTTGATGCGACTCCCCAAAACAGAGGCATAGCTCCCCACATTCCTCCCAGCAGCAGAAAATTGTGTGTTTGGAAGCTTGTGATAAAACTCTAGCAGATACCGATTGTATAAATTTGAGATTGGATGGTGAATCCTCTCTCTGCTGAGCAGGGGGAGAAATTTAATTTTTACTCCTGTCAGCAACATTAAACCCTTCACCACCACCAACACATCCATTGCTTTAACAGTTTCACCCATCATATTACTTGCTGACACAGTCATAGTCTTCACAGCAATGTCCGTACTCACTGCTGCAGTGATAGAAACTTCAGCTCCAGCTGTCATCTCCTCCTCCAGCTCAGAGCTTTCAGCACAGGCACGTGCATGCTGTTCAGACACAGCAACAGGTAAAATATCACAGACATCCATGTTTGCTCTCCACATGGTGCACTGTGCTGCTTTACTCCCCCACCAGCATCAATCAGCTCTGGAACATGAGAGTTCAGGTGCAGCAGACTCCTTACAGCCAGTAGCCATCTTGCTTGCAGCATTCCCAGAGGCACTACTGGTCTCAGCAAAGGCAGGAGCAGAAAAATCCATGTCCGAGGTGTTTAGCGCAGATCCATCCACATTCCTATGATGGTTTGGAAACATCTCTGTCAGGGGGTTTTCCTCCATGTCTGCAGAGGGTTTCTCCGCAGAAGAAACTTCCACAGCAGGTTGTTTACAGAGCTTCTCTTTCTGTTCCTCAGTCGGGACACCATCCACCACAGCCGTTGGGGGCAGACATGCTGGAAGCAGCCATCTTGGTGTAGTGGTATTTCTCCACCATTACAGGCTTTGCTGGTCTGTACCTCCTCTGTCCATCCTCAGGGACTTCTGAAGGATCATCAGAAAAGGAAAACCTGTCTGTCCTCAGGGGTGACTCCATCTGCTAGATGAACATCAGGGTTCCATGCTCACTCTCAACCCCCTGGCTGGTTGCTGTTGATAACTCAACAGCCTGACATGGGGGGAGAGAGACACAGAGGTAGATGGATAAGTGTCATCCATTATCTGAGGCTTCTGATCCACAGGAATCGCTGATGTCTGGTTGGCAAATCTCTTTTCATTATTAAACTTTCTTCCCACTGATTACCAATGTAAGGGACATTCTTCCCACTGATCACCAATGTAAGGGACATTCTTCCCACTGACCACCAATGTAAGGGACATTCTTCCCACTGATCACAATGTAAGGAGCATTCTTCTCACTGATAATGTAAGGAACATTCTTCCCACTGATCACCAATGTAAGGAGACATTCTTCCCACTGATCACCAATGTAAGGGACATTCTTCCCACTGATCACCAATGTAAGGAACATTCTTCCCACTGATCACCAATGTAAGGAACATTCTTCCCACTGATCACCAATGTAAGGGACATTCTTCCCACTGATCACCAATGTAAGGGACATTCTTCCCACTGACCACCAATGTAAGGGACATTCTTCCCACTGATCACCAATGTAAGGAGCATTCTTCTCACTGATAATGTAAGGACATTCTTCCCACTGATCACCAATGTAAGGAGCATTCTTCCCACTGATCACCAATGTAAGGGACATTCTTCCCACTGATCACCAATGTAAGGGACATTCTTCCCACTGATCACCAATGTAAGGGACATTCTTCCCACTGATCACCAATGTAAGAAGCATTCTTCTCACTGATTCATTCCCCACTGATCACCAATGTAAGGGACATTCTTCCCACTGATCACCAATGTAAGGAACATTCTTTCCCACTGATCACCAATGTAAGGAACATTCTTCTTCCCACTGATCACCAATGTAAGGGACATTCTTCCACTGATCACCAATGTAAGGAGCATTCTTCCCACTCACTGTAAGGAGCATTCTTCTCACTGATAATGTAAGGGACATTCTACCCTCTGATCACCAATGTAAGGGGCACTCTCCCATTCAACCACCACTGTAAGAAGCGTTCTTCCCTCACCATCATTGTAAAGTGGTCCTTCTCCAACTGACCACAAATGTGAGAGAATACTACTATTCTATTCAATAGAACAGCCTAGTGGCTCAAATACACAACGTATGCCATATGCGTATTCTTTTTTTTTACATCATATACATCAATTTTCTGTCTGTGAGCTGTAGACATTATTATCAGTAGGGGCTTTTCTGGACCCAAAAGGTATTTTAAGGGCTCCTCCATGAGGTAACTGCCATCTGGAACAATCATACTAATTACTTCTCAAGATCCCTCCAATGATATCAGTCCAGTATGCACTTTGTTGAACAGTACCAATCTCTGACGAAGGTAGACCCTTGGAGCCCTCAAAAGAAGTTGTTTTTTTAATGATAGAAGAACTTTATGTCTTCGGATTTTGGTGCTTACTTCCTCACACACAAAGTCCCAAGCATATAGTCGACTTTTGGTCACCACTTCTGGGAAATCCACCTAAGGAGAATCATTCCTTCTATTGACTCAGAACACCTACTGCTTAAAGAGCACCACACCTTTTTCTACCTCCTTAAAGCTCTTATTGCTGTCTGTTTACCTGTTGGGGAGATTTACCTTCATTATGTGTCATGATGAACATTGTCACCCAAAACATGATGGGAAGTCCAACATTTTACAGTTGTCACTGCAATAGAAGTTACTAGAATAGAATAGAATAGAAGAAGAAATAGAAAACAAGGAATATAATAGTACTATGTTTGCTTCTATCATTGCCCTCCATGCCCCCTTATTAGGGGAATATATACTGTATCTGCTTTCCTCAGCAGCAAATATTCACTACTTGATCAGCTGCAAGGAAGCCCTGAATTCAGTCTAGAGATGTGCATGACGGAAACATATGTTTTGTTTTGTTTCGGGATCGTTCGGTAAGTTAATAATTTTGTTTTGTCACTTTTTTTATGTTAGAATGATTAGTTTTTAGAATTCATTTTGTATATTCATTATGTTCAGATCAATTTGAAATTCAAAATTTGAATTTCAGAAGACGGCTATATTCGCTCCGATATATATAATTTTCTATTCTATTCTTTTATTTTATATTCTATTCCTTTATTGTCTATTCTATTTTCTTTTAGTCTATTCTTTTTTTTTTTATTATATTCTATTCTTTTTCTATTCTATTCTATAAAGCAGCCTAAGTAGGAATCATCATCTTATTTCACTTTTATATTTTTCTGTGTTTATAGCAATATGTTTCCATTTCGAATTCAATGTAATTTTCAAATTCAAATTAATTTTTAATTCAAATTCAGATTCATTTGGATAATTAGTTTCATTATAATTTATTTCGGATTCATTGAAATTCATTACTGTTGTGATTTGGAAATTCGGATACATCCGAATAAACAAAAATTTCACCAAATTTCGATTAGAAAGAAATGAATCACACAGGTCTAATTTATTCTCCATTCTGCGAAAACTGCATGTGGTAGGATCTTATTATCAGGGGCAGACTGACCATTTGGAAACTCGGGCACTGCCCGAGGGCCCGGGGTCAGTAGGGGGCCCCATGAGATGCCCCTGGTACCTTTTTCATAGGCTTTTTTGCGTTTGGGCAAGGACACAGGGGCCCCATGATCCCCTATTTCCGGGGGCCCCATGAGTTGTCAGTCCACCCCTGCTTATTATATACATACAACAATTACTATGATAAGCCAGTCTATTCCAGTCATATTTTAGGTGATGAAATACTCAAGCCCTGATGAAGGGAGCTGTGTTCGAACCTCTGAAACCTGCTGGCTTACTTACTCTTTTACCTATTGGTGTGGTGTCCTTACTGTTTCTAATTTGGTTGGACTTTTATCAAGATTCCACCTCTCCTTGGGGGCTTTTGGTGCAAGACAGCTTGATTATTGTAACGACCTTTCACAATTTTGGATATTAACAATAGGAAATCTAATGCCTCTATTCCATATACCTTTGAGTTAACTGACTATGCACTCTCCAACCTCATTGTAAAATATTCTAATTTTAGTCTACCATCAACTAGGTAGTGCGAGGGCCAGTTTGATATGATGTGTTTAGGTTTTTCTCATATTACATAGTTTTGGTAAAGCTATAGCAGACTGTACAAAGATTTTAAAAATCAGGTTGCATAGTGTGTGGCTAGGTTAAGTCAACCACAGAGTTAGAACTCTCTCAACACCCCCATGTGTACAACGCTGGGCCAACTACCAAGAACCAATGCTGCCACACAAGAGGAATGGGTAACATGGTCCCACATACCCAGGGGCGGACTGACCATTTGGAAACATGGGCACTGCCCGAGGGCCTGGGGTCAGTAGGGGGCCCCATGAGAGGCCCCTGGTTCCTTTTTCATAGGTTTTTTTTGAGTTTGGGCAAGGACACAGGGGCCCCATGATCCCCTACTGCCCGGGGGCCCCATGAGTTTTCAGTCCGCCCCTGCCCATACCTGGAAGTACTATGTACTTCTGCAGATAAGGTTATTAAGTGAACCTGTTGCTTTGACCTGCATGGAAATAGTTTCTATAACATGACAAATTATGATCACCATATGACCTTCAGGATATCATTTTTCAGCAGTTACAAAATATGGAGCTATGCAACAGTCCAAAGCCTTTCAATAATGCTGCTTGTTCACCATAAGACAATATAAAACATCCAATGCCTTTTGAGGGTACAGATATCTCCCCCTTCTTCAGGGGAATGCTTCGACTTATTTTGCTCCTGGGAACATTTCTTGTTTCATCTTTCAAATGATTATGATTGAGTTGTTTCGAGTCCTCCTGATTAGACGTGAAATTTTGAGCCCTGAAGAAGGTGGAGATACTTGTACCCTTGAAACGCACTGGATGTTTTACATTGTGTTAAAATGCTTTGGACTGCTACTCCTTTGTGCTGGACTATAACTGGACTTTTTTCATGTAGATTCCAAAGTTGTGCTGGAGGTACTAACTGGATACTTTTTTCATGTAGATTCCAAAGTTTTTGGTTCCCTATTAAACATTTTTTTTATGTACTTCAGTTTAGGTTCCCTAGTTATGATACCATTATTCAAAACACTGTAGACTATTACTCATTGTGTTGCTGCTCTCATTAAACATTTTTTATGTAGATTCCAAAGTTTAGGTTCCCTTGTTATGGGTACCCAGTAGTAGACACCATTATTCAAAACACTTTGGACTATTACTCATTTGTGTTGCTGCTCTCATTAAACATTTTTTATGTAGATTCCAAAGTTTAGGTCCCCTAGTTAGGGGTACCCAATTGTGCAGAGAGCAGTCTCAGAAACCATTGGGCCCCTTGTCTTCATCTTTAACCCTTTGCCCTTGATGAATCGAAAAAAAAAAACTCAGTCACACATGTTCCATAATATAGGCCAAAGTCTTGGTGTTTGTTTACAATACACAAATTACACACTGCAGAGCTCAGCTCTGAGAGCTCTGAGAGCTGATTGGTGGAAAGAGTCACACACCCCTCCACACAGCTCACAGGAATAGAGCTGAGGCTGTCAATCTGCTGGAGGTCCCTCCCCGTCACTATTTTTCTCTTGCTGTCAGGAAAACTTGCCAGAGGTGATTCAGGCTGATAGGAGAGGAACGAAGCAGCAGACAGAAATGACACTTAGTGCTCTAGACTGAGACAAGTACACACTATAGAGAGATATGCTTTGTTCATATTTCATGGCTGAGTAGATCAGACCGGACCAGAGCATCCTTGGATTAGGTAAGTATAGACATCATTCCTTCACAGGGTAGTTAGTATAGGGCTTAGAATGGGGGTGGAAGCAGGTTTACGCCTAGTTAGGGTTTGACCGGACTTCCACTTTAATACACCGCACAGGAACATGTATTCAGGCCTCACGCAGCAGGAGCAAGCATTCCCAATCACGATTTACACGCATTTCAGCATGTCGCACAAAAGGCAGCCCATTCACTTCAATGGGCTGTTCTATACGCATTTGTCACCCAAAGAAGCTTCTGCTCCTTCTTGGGTGACAAGCTTTGCACGATTTTTAAAGGCGCGATTTGCCATGATTTCTGTGCGATTCTGTCATGCAACAATTACAGCAAAATCGCACTGCGGTGCCATTAGGATTGAGTTGCACCCAAACATGCGTTGCGTGTTTTACCACAGTTTTTCCACAATTTTGAATTGCAGACAGAAACACAGTGATTCCAAATTGCCAAGTGTGAATGGGGCCTGCAGGGGTACTATGTCATAACGATGTGCATGATGGAAAAAAAGTTTGTTTGTTTGGTTTCAGATTTGTTTGTGAAGTTAATAATTTCATTTCATCATATTTGTTATGTTAGAATGTTTCATTTTCGGAATTTGTTTTGTATTTTTTAATTCAATTCATATATTCATCATTTTCAAATCGATTTGAAATTTAAATATCTACTTTATTCTATTCTATTTTATTTTTCTATTCTATTCTAGTCTACTCTTTTATTTTCTATTCTTTTCTATTGTGTTCTTTTATTCTCTGTTCTATTCTGTTCTTTCCTATTCTATTATTTTATTTTCTAATCTATTATTTTTTTAGTCTATTGTTTTCTATTCTATTTTATTCTTTTATTTTATTTTCTATTCTATTCTTTCGTATTCTTTTATATTCTATTCAGGGTTTTTTTTATGCTATACTTTTCTATTCTATTTCCATCTATTTTATTCTATTCTGTTTTGTTCTATTCCATTCTATTTTTTTCTA